TTTTTTTTTTTCTCTCTCCAAAAGTATGAAGTCTTCCAAATACTCCTAAGCTTAAAAAGATTTTTTTTTTAAATGTACCACAAGCGGTGACCCACCCCCCAAAAAAATCTTCAAATGAGCTTCCCAGCCCAAACTCCCTGTTAAATTTCGCACCTGTCAGGCCAGCTGAATCTAAAGTGCTATTGAATTCTCCAGAAAAATCCCTTGAAGACCCCAAAAAATACCTCCCAAACTATAACATTCCCACTGTTGGAAGGATAACGGACACAAGGCAACTGAGGCAGAATAGTGGCTCCCCTGACCACTAGAGGGCAGCAGGCAACCAGTCAGCGGCAATGGCCATTCCAAGTTTTCTAGGCCACAAAGATGTCGGCCGGATAAACTGGCATTTTGCTTATCTTCTCGGTGAGGGGAGGGGAAAGATGAAACCAGGAATATCAATAACTTTTAAATCCGTGTTTCTCAACCTGGGCATCTTTTAAGATGTGTGGACTCCCAACTTCCAGAATTCCCTAGCCAGCACCTAACCGATTCCCAGAATTCTCCATGCAAGGCTGAGGCATTCTGGGAGTTGAAGTCCACACATCTTTAAAAAAAAAAAGATGTCCAGGTTTAGAAACAAGTCATTTAAATTAGAATTCTCCAACCTTGGCAACTTTAAGCCTGGTGGACTTCAACTCTCAGAGGTCCCCAGTCAGCTTTGCTTTGCCAGCTGGGGAATTCTGGGAGTTGAAGTCCACAAGTCTTAAAAGTTGCCAAGGTTGGAGACCCCTGGTTTAAATGAATGCTGTAGCCTCATCCTCCCCCTAAAATCCAGGACAAACAATAGAAGCATTCCATCTCAGTCCTTCCAGGAATCGTTGGAGATAACAGAATCCGCGAAGGATGGGGCTGGCATCATAGGGTCTCAAAGCTTATCCCCAATTTAATAAGAACAACCGAAAAGCAAGAGGTTCTTGGGCAAGTTCTTACAATATGACAGTTGGGGAAGTAAGTTGGGGAAAGTTGGAGAAGGAGGATCAGCACCAGCAAAGATGATTCGTGGGCATTCAATGTGTGTGTACACTTATGCAACCCATTCCTGCCCTCCCCCAGTTGCACAGGACGGGACAGGTGCAATTTTAATGATCCACCCCTGCAGATATATCTCCCATTATAGTATTAGCTGATATCCAAGGAAACCAAGTTTTAACAGGATAACAGAGTTGGAAGGGACCTTGGAGGTCTTCCAGTCCAACTCCTTTCCAGAGCAGGAGACCTTATTATACCATTTTGGACAAATGTCTGTCCAATCTCTTTAAAAGCCTCCAGTGATGGAGCCCCCACACCTCCTGCAGGCAAGCTATTCCATTAACTCTTCTCACCTTTAGAAAATTTATCCTTAGTTCTAGGTTGGTTCTTTCCTTGATTAGTTTTCATCTACTGCAAAGATCTTCAAACTTGGCAAGTTTAAGACTTGTGGACTTCAACTCCCGG